CAGTCTGCAAATGACCTTTCATTTAAAATCAGAAATTAGAATATGAGTAACATCAGACACAACTATTCACAGGAATGCAAATGTTCTACCTTTGGAGGAGATTCTAATCATAATCTAATTTAACGTTATCAAGAATTACCAGAAGTAAATTGCAAAACCATTCATCAAACTTTCAGCAATATCTACAGGATCTGTTCAAACTCAAAACACATAAATAATGAAAAAACACTATTCAGGGTCACAGACTGACTGTTACACTGGTGGCACCAGTACGACCTACTTTCTCATTTTGTTGCACCTCCCACATGGTCAAAGGCAAAACATACGACTTGCTGAACATTTTCTTATCGATAGACACTACAATTTACTGATGCTCCCTAAACGCCCCACATAGCAGGCTGTGGTAGCTGCTGTTTGGTGGCTGTGGTGTGCTCTGACCGGTGTGTGACCAAAAATGACTTTAAAAATAACAAACAAGGGCGTTCTGATGTCAGATTTGTCTGAGGTTAAACCGAGTTACATGTGTTCTACACGCAGTCTTTTCTCTGAGCGGAAACACTGAGAATGTAGGTGAGCTCTGTTTTTCATGAGAAGACCTCATTTCTAATCGTAAATACTGCAGAACACTGAAGTTATAAAAGTACTACTTTCCATCACTGTGGTCCACACAGCAGCCTCCTGTGCCGGTTACAGCGACACTGATACAGCTTCATGATCATCATGCTCATCAATTTACATTCTCAAAAAAAAGGTCGCAAATGCAGTCTGGAGTTATTTGAAAAAAAAAACTTGGCTCTTCTCTCTTTCTGCTCAGCAAACCTCTCTATGACTTTTTGGTTGAAGTCACTCATCTCCGTGAGCAGTCTTTTCTCCACTGACAGCACGGCCAATGCATTTAGTCATCACTACAGAAGCTGTCATCTAGTAGAATAGGAGGAGAAAGGCCGTGTGACGCTATTAGATATGTGTTTAAAGCACAGTCATAAGAATGTCAAAGGCCAGATTTGATATCCAACCACACAAGACAAAAGCAAATCAAGACAAAATTAATTGGCTTACAGCAAAAGTGGACGGGTCCAGGACACACCAAGCTGCGCCCCGTGAGAAAATCTGCTGCAGCCAATCATAGCCCGGGCCGAGGTCACATGATCACGAAAAGTTTTTCGAGCTACATACACACTCATGTGGCCGCGCCCGCATCCAGGAAGTGTAAAATTAGTAAACACGCAGTGAAGACTACTTTTAAATCTGTTAATAACACAAATATTGTTAATATGACAAAAGAATATGAACGACATTATTAATTTTATTGTTATTTGTTAGAATTAATTCAAATTTAATATTGTGTTTGAGAGCTACTTTTTATCTGGTCATTAGTAGGGCAGCGTCCCTGCGCCCCGTATTGACCAGCCGCCACTGGTCACCATGTGTGCATATAGTTACCTTCATAGATATGTATAACAAAGGCTAGATGTCTCGTCCGCGCTGCCGGCCAATGAAATTGCACGTCCGCACTGGCGGCCATCTTGCCACAGTCAGCTCGCACACCCATAACATTGTGTTGTAGTGGTGCATGTACTTTTTAAATAACCAGAACTTGCTAAATTTTATACCGAGTTTGAAACGGTTTGGTTTGTTCTAAACTTCAGAGGTGTAGTTATAAAACTGCACTTACGGATAATTATGTTACGCTTCCGGTCAAAAGTTTGGGATCACCTACTTATTTCCCCCATTGGACCTCAGATTGGTGCAATGAATATACACACCACAAGGTATTAAGTCAAATAAATATATGAGCAACTAAAACTCAGCGTACAGAACGGCAACATGAGATACACGTATACTTTTATAATAGGAGTATTACTAATATGATAAAATAATTCAAATTGTTACATGTTTAGCTTAAACAAGTAATAATTCAAAATATTGTATTACATTAGTACTATTATTATAAATGTGACATTTATTTGCAATAAAAAATAGGTAAAAGACTTCCCTTTACAAATATACATCAAGAAATGCTGCATGTTGAAATCCCCACCCTGTAGAGAGAACTAGACCACTGTGGAGGTAAACACATGGAGGACAGAGATAAGAAATGACCCAAAAAACATAGTGACATCAAACATAAATATCATTTATTACATGATAAGGATTAACAATAACTAAAGAAAAATATCAAGTAACAGGAGCCTCATCCTGTCGAAGTCCTCACTTCTAAAGTGCAGAGCAGTGTCCTGTCGGTAGCAGGAAAACCCTCCGTTCTGGTTTTGGGAAACCTTAAAAACGTGAGAGATGTACTCAGATATATAAATTATTGTCAACATCTTCAGTCCTCATTTTTACATTAAGGGTAAGGACACACACCTAATACACACCTAATACACACCTAAATTATCAGATTTTTGGGGTAATTGTGTGTAAGTATGTATGTATGTACTTTAAGAAAAACCACATTAAAATAGTTATAAAAAGGTGTCCAAAAGAAACATACAGTGATTGTGTAAACAAACATATTCTAAAAAGCCTTGTGTCAACAACAATCTTGCAATACTGTTGTGTCAGCCGCGCTGCTCCTTTGTAACAGTATAGTCATAGTATCGTAATATCTTACAGGTGAAAGGTGATCCCACAGACTCTGGTTTCAACACAACGGCGATTAGAGCATCCGTAGGCTGCACAAAGTCGAGCATCTTCACTCAGCAGTTTCCTGTAGGAATCCTACTCAGCGCCAACAGCTGTTCCCGAGTGTAAACAATGGAGCCGTGGCTCAACGGCTCAACAGCTAGTCAGATGTGGACTTTGAAAGTTTGTAAAAAGTAAAAACTAATTTAAAAAACTTTGTTGGCATCTCCATCGTATTCATGCTCATCTAGTACAACTACATTAATATAATAATATTAAAAATATAGAAGAAAAAACAAAGCAAATAGCTAAAAATATAGAAAGTAGGGAGGAGCCGCTGCAACAATTTGCATTTCAATTATTTTTTTTTTTATTTGTATTTTTGTAATTTGAATTGTAGCCACGTTCACAACGTTTGTAAGAAACCAAACCGTTTGTAAATCCGTCAACATTTCAGCGAGATAAGAGTATTTACGTTTGTGCAGATCACTCACCTTCCTTCACGTACCACAGGTTCCACCAGAGAGCTTGTTTGTGGCAAGATGGCCGCCATTAGAAACTCCACCTTAAGACATCTAGCCTTTATTATACATATCTATGGTTGCGTTCCTCCCGCATGTTGCAACAGGTCACTGTTTTCTAAAAAACTTTTTTTTTTATAGATAACAGCTTTACGATCATTGCTTTGTCTGACTGAATGGTATGCTGCCAGGCAACTCACACAGAAACCACCTGCCAAATTACACTAAGTAACAAGTCTAAACTGAATTAAGTACGCGCAATGCAATCATTATCCAGGAGAGGTTCTGAAACATGGTGTCTAGTGAGGAATTTTATTTTAAGAAACAGAGAAACATGTTGGCTTCACGTCTGAATAAGCATCCAGATCAGTTTTGTATAAAAGCTGCGACTGCAAACCTAATAGGTTGGACCTAGTAACATTTACTTAAGACTATCAACACAGCACAAGTCTGATACAAAATCTCATAGGAACACCCAAGCAATTTACTCTGAGTTGTGTGAAGTGATTTGAGGAAGGCTTTTTACATATTTCCGCACCAGTATTGGTCCAAAAACATCACAGAGTGCAAAAAAAAAAACAGTTGCTGCCAGAATCACTAAACCCCTTCCTCATTTACTTTGCTCTACAATATCACATCTATCAGGCTACAAACTGAAATATCCATAAAAATAAAACGTTACTGGGATTAAAACCGAGACTGAGTATAGCCTAGATTATTAATACCCACCAGTGATGAGTGTAGTCGAGGTGTTGACAAAACATCAACAGGAGCTGAAGGTTGCTTTTAGGTGATTGCAGAAGTCGTTCCTCTGAGTTTAGTAAATATCTACAGCATCAGACAACAGTAGGATTTATGAAGAGGGAGAGCGTTACGTACGTCTAACACATGGAAGAATGGAACAACAGTTTCACCAAGGTCTAATGTCATCTCAGTGAGACTGACAGGGAGTATCAGGGAGTACTGTCATGCCTTTAGCATTAGTAACACAGTTCTTATCTCATCAGCAGCTACTCCCACCAGCCAGCAGACAACTTGGAATATGAGCTTTTCAGCATCAGAGTATGGGCAAATAGACAGCGTGGAGCCAACCACATCTGATAAACAGTCTCTCATGCTTTGCCAGGTCGCTTCCACCATTTTGTTGCTGACAGCTGATCTTATCAGACGAGACAATTTTAGAGAGCCAAATTGATGGCGTCTAACTACACTCTCTCACTTCACTCGCTTCTTCTCTCCTGTTGATTTGTGATGTTTGGCTTGTGTGATCCATGATGTTCATTAAAGGCTGCTAAAAATATAAATATTGAATAGAGGACATTAAATAACTAAATATAAAGAATGGAGCCCTGAGGTGCTGATGATAAGAGGACTTTATCAGCACCATCAGCAACAACGTTCTGTAGCTGCTGTGCATGGCACCGATTATCCGGTTCATGCTGCCTTTTATCTGCAAATATAGGATTGTTTCTGAATACCAATAGCAAAATCTTATTCAATCCTTTCTCTGTGCAGGAGTAGTAGACTCTGTGACACAGACCACAGGGAAGACCGGGCCAATACACAACTGCACAGCCTTACCGAGCAATCGCAACAACTCAACCACCACATCTCCATGGGCCCACAAAGGTAAATATGCTTATTCCATGTTTGGAATTAGTTGTTGAATATAAATCTCGAATCAGTTGGATGGTGAAGTCAGAGCCTGGGCTAGTTTGGAACATGAGGCATATAAAATTTGTCATCTGCAAAGAAAAAGGCATTGACCAGTGAGGATGATGTTTTGTGTGTATAGTGTAAATAGTAGAGGACCAAGATTAAAGCCCTGAGGCACTCCATTACTGACAATAGGAGGGCTTGACTCAGTTGTCTAGCTGCTGTGCGTGGCACTGGTCATTTAGCTCACCCTACCTTTAAATTGAAAATGTACAATTGTTTACGAATATCAACAGGAAAATCTCATTCAGTCCTTTTTCTGTGCAGGAGAAGTAGATTCTGTGACACTGACCCAGACAACGCAGAAGTCCACAGTCTCACGGAGCAATGCTAACAGCTCAACCACCACATCTCCAGGGACCCGCAAAGGTAAATATGGTTATTCCACAAACTTCTGTGGCTCTGCTACTACTCATATAGTCTTCTATAATAAGTCAATAATGTAGGCTCTTAGTGGATAAATCTTTGGCAAGATGATTAGAAATGAATATTTTGTTGATGTTAAAGGGAAGTGCTCTTGTTGAGACAAAAACTGAACCAACTGAACAAGACAAAGTGAGGCTGTCACTGTGCTCTGACTGAACTGCTGTGGATGTAGTAAGTTTACTGAGTCAATGAAAGCATGCAGTTGTGAATTAACTAAAGATTTCATGATCTTCACTTAAAGAGAACTATATCTCAAATATTGGCGAGATACTGTTGGGATCCCTGACATCACCACTTTTACTTCAAGGTTACTGCTATGGCACGTTTCCAAATGACGATTTAAAGCTTGTTGGTTCACCAGAAACGTGACCAGTTTCCAGTTTGATTAATCTTCTTGAGAGCAGCTATAGTCTCACAAAAGTTATTAAAATAACTGATCTTGAACTCGTGGTTAGGTACAGGAAGTAATCCAATCAAATCAAAGTGACTACGTAACCTGCCACTCGCTGGCTAGTGGGTAGTAAAGGTAGTGGAACTAAAAGGCAGCAGTACAACAGTTGCTCCTTTAGCTTTTATTGCTGTTTTTGAATTAGCAGCAGGATTTATGTTTGTAGTACTCCTGCTTTGTATAGTGAAGGTGGTAGCAGTAGTAGTTAACTGTAGCTGACACAAATTGTTGCATTTATTTTTAGCTTTTGTGAGTTACGTGGCATGTTGAATCTAAATGTACACCACGCAGCCACAACATTAAAACCATCGACAGGTGACGTGAACAGTGTTGATTATCTTGTTAGAATGCTACCTGTCAGGCAGCAACAGCCACTTCTGAGTGACTTTGAAAAGAGCCAGATTGCCATGGCTGGAGGACTGTTGCACAAACTGCAGAAAACCTCAATGCTTCCTGTAATAGAAAAGTGTTCGAACACACACGGCATTACCGCTTACTCCCTTTTTGTTGCTTCACACAAGAACTGGAGCACAGAGATGTCAGTTTGACACATGGGATCTGGCTAAACTACATACATTTGTTCATGAAAACAGTGTTCCCTGATGGCCTCTTCCAGCAGAACATGCTTCCTGCCACTCTGCAAATTGGAATGGTTTGAGGAACATGCGAAAGAGTTCAAATTCCCCGGATGTCAGTCTAAGGAAGCATCTGTACGCTGGAACAACAATTTCAATTCATTCTCATAATTTCCAAGACTTACAGGATCTGCTTTAGAGGTCTGTGGAGTACCAGGACAGGTCAGAGCTCTGTGCCACATACTCCCTCGCAAACTGTCCACGTTTGAGTAAAGACATCCGTACACCGGACGCTCCGGATCACAGCATCGGTTTGTCTTCTTCAACAGTAGTTTTGCAAACAGTAGTGATGATAGAAGAAGCAGCGGTGAAGCAACAGAAGTGGATTTGTAGTAGAAGTAATAATCACATTAGGATGTTTACTCATGCCTCCATCAAAAGTAATAACTTTTCTTTCTTATCAGCACCAACTTCCACAAGTCTACAGACAACCCTGACTGCAAGTACCTTCAGTACAGTGACTGAACAAAGAGACGGGCTGCCAGACGGTAAAGACACTGCAGTTTACAGTCACACATACTTGGTTATTCTTTGCAGTATTGCTGCCGACAGCTGAGATGAGTGAATAGATTGTGTAGAGATTAAAGTCTGATTTCCTCTCATGGCATTTTGACTCACTAATGGACTCCCCTCCTTCCTTTGGTCGATCTGTGATGTTTAGTTTGCTTAATTCATGCTGTTAGTTGAACTTGGGGCCTCATAGATAGTGAAATCAAATCAAATGTGAGTTTGGGTGACTTTGTGACACATCAGATAACCACTAAGTTTGTTCATTTTTACCCATGTGTGTATTTTTGAATGATACAGTTACATCGAAAGGATGGAATTTTAGTCTCTTTAGTTAATTAACTCATATACATATACTGTTTAACATGGATATGTAACATCACTGACGATAAAAATGCTGACTTGCATTTCACTGTGACTGTAATCCCTGGCCTGGTCCATCATTTTTTTATTTAGTCTTTGATAAATCAATAATATGCTTAAAAAAAACACCAAAACAGCGCCCAAGTTGTTTGAAGATGTGGGTGCTGCAGGAATACCCAGAACCCTACAGAAAGCCGCCATGCATTCCACTCATCATTTAACTCTCTCCTTCCCGTTGGGCTCACGCTGCTGCTGATTTGCAAGTAATAGAGTCGAGCTGTTAATGAACAGTACGGGAAACTCTTATTCTTTTTATGTGCAGGAAAAATAGATTCTGTGACACTGCCTGTAGTCCAGAACCAAACAATAAGGACCTCCACAATTTCACCGAGCACTCTTACCAACTACACCATCTCACCTCCTGAGACCCTCAAAGGTGAGTTTAAAGACAATTAACCTACAAAAGGCTTGAAAAGAATCTCCTCAGATGTGTCGTCTTTCTATTGGCTCTTGTTGAATGCATTTGACATTAGAGTGTTTCTGTTGAAGGACACAGTGAAGACATACAGTGTAGAGTTTAACTGTATTTTTCATCCACAAATAATTTTTGGCTACTTAAGAGATTCACAAGGAAGCACAGAATCATTGTTTAGTAAAATGCGACCTTGTCGTACGCCTCGTTTCCTGTGGAGCTTCCAAGGAGAGAAACTAATGTTCAGTTGTTTTTTCCTTTTTAGGAGAAATTGTCCGAGCAGTGAGCATCAGTGGTTTTGTGGTGGTCTGCATATTGGTCGGGATCGGCTTCTCACTGTATCGAAGGTAAGGTAGTAAAAAGCATGTCAGTAATGTTTTCTAGCATCAAGGATCACAAAGGTTCACAGCTTTGTATTAAACACTAGGGCAGGGTCAACTTCTCAACTTAACATTAACATTTTTGGTGGTTATAATCAGTCTCATTCCTTATTTATTTATTTGTTTGTTGTACCTCAGGAGGTCCAGGAGAACCAGCTTCACAGTGCAGACAGAAGAAATGATGCCCATGAATTGTCCTCCAGCCAAACCTGAAGAAGTTTAAAAGCCGTGACCTCCGGCCGTCACAGAGAGCAGTATCAGGTCCTCCTCATGCCTTGAAGACGGGCTCATTACCTCCACATGGGGCTGAAAATGATGTCTATGAACCCTTTTGATGTTCTGTGGACGTATGAAAGCAATTAGTAGGGGTGCTTATGGGGCTTCAGTGTTTCCTCCCATTCATCAGGTGCTGCACTGTTTTTTTTTTTCTACCCTGTAAGACTGGTGGGATTCTCTATTTCAGTGTCATCAAATCCCATGAAAAGACCAAAACCAACAATGAAATACTCCAGCCATCGAGTGTTGTCTTTCAAACCAAAGCCTGATATAGTAGACTTAAATACCTAAACTTACTTAAAAATTAAAAACTAAACACTGTTTCTGAAAATGTGTGAGTTTTGAGTTAAGTATGGTCCAAACTACGTAGCCTAGCAGTAGCGGGAGAACACTCCAGCTTAGATACGGACTTCTAAAAACAATGGACCAGCAGACGTCACCCACTGGTTTGTGGACGGCTGTTTTGAAGTCTCAAGTCTGCATTGAGGTTTTTGTTGTTGTTTTATAAACTGGAAATAACAAGCATATCAATCACAAGGTAGCCATGCCCTGCTTTATTATCTATTTTAGAGTAACCATAATTTACTAAATGAACATCATGCTGTATGTGTGTAGCGAGTGACTGAGGCCCTAAACTCATGAGGAAAATGTTTACAGGGGTACTAAATCGAGAAAGAAGTAGGGTAAATTTTTCATAGTCTCCTATATAATCCAACGACTTTTCGCAGTAGGAAGAGTCGCCCCCTGCTGGCTGTTAGAAACAATGCAAGTTTCAGGCAGCTACGCATTGGCAGACATGGAGGCTTCGGCCATCTTTTATTTAAGTTAAAACCATGTGGAACAGGTTGTGTACATCTTCTGTAAGAACCTATAAATCGAGTGCCACACTCAGGAAGGAAAAGAGAAACCCCTCTTCCCGTTCTCACCTTGCACATCCTTGATTTCTTTCCTCGACTCCTTCCCTCACAATGTGTTCCCTCCCACCTGAGATGTGAGTGGAGGAGGGAAGGAAGAGATACAAGGAGAGAGGACTCAAGGCAACATTAACATCGTAGGACATCTTTATTTGAAAGGCGTAATTTCAAAATACATTTAGCTCAGTTTATTTATGTAGCACCAATTCACAACATATGTCATCTCATAGCGTTTAACATAAGACATTACACATTTTAAACCCAACTAGCTAAAGATCCTCTATGAGCAAGTCAGTCGGCAGCAGTTGGAAGGAACCAACAAACTGCCCTTTAACGGGAAGGGGGAAAGGCCTCTGACAGAACCAGGCTCAGGGAAGGCGGCCATCTGATTCGACCTGTTGGGGTGAGAATGTACAGACAGAAGAGGGAGAACAGACAAATGTTAAAGAAACTTTCGAGCCATGTATATTAGATAGGACGTGTTGGCACAGTTGCATCATCTACTATTTGTACATCTACTACTGTATTTTTGTTTGACTGTCAAAGAACTTAATGGTGTTCATGAGAGCTTATGGTATGAAGTTATTTGTAATTACATTCACAGTGTGGCATAATGTGGCAGGAATGTACAGATGATATAGTTGTTGTTTATTTTTATTATTTAATACACACAAACACCATGAATACAAAGAGGAATGTGCTTTATTGTGATTTTTTAAATGCCTCTTTCATGCATAACTGGTGAGGAAAATACTTCCACAAAGGATACATATAGGATAATGTACCTGAGCATTCTGGATTAAAGCTCCTCTGTCAAGCTTCCTCCTTCGTAGAGATGCATTTTAGGAAATAAGATGAATAAGCCTTCATGGTGGTGCTCTTAAGCTAACAAGGAGTGTTATAATAGAGGAATGAGAGGCGCTCTAATTGTTTGCTTTGGCCTTGTCATGGGAATGGTAACAACAATCACAATGGAAATAGTCCAGAGTGAATTATAAGGCCTTTGTGTTCACCTAAATTGTATTTTTGTACATGAACAAACCAAAGTGTAAATAGGTGCTGCCAGCAAACACTGTGAATAAAACGACTGATATTTGTGTGAAAGTCGGCTTAAAGTGAATGTAGCAGAGAAAAAGTGATCCAAACATGAATAATGAATAAAATGTTTGTTTGCTCCTGTACTTCAATGAGTCATTTTTAATCGTGGCGTTCATGAATTCAGACTGTTGCTACCTGCATGCTAGTGAGACCAACGCTCAAGCTAAGCTAGACTCATTAGCAAACATGGCTTCCTGTGGCTAGCTTGCAGTTCGTTAGCTGTTAGCTGGCTTCGTCATGTTGTTCTTCGTGCTTTGACTCAGCTTGTGGGACATTATTCAACCAGAGACCGAGTTATTTGTTGAATTTTCCTCAATAAACCCTGTTCATACAGTCAAGATATGCAGACGGTTTATTTATTTTAGACTTTTCAGGCTCTGAAACTTTTGACATCACTTCATGCAGCTAAATTCTCAATGCAACTGCTAAAACACTGACAAATGACATCTGAAAAACATAAATAATGTACTCTACAGACAGTAAATAATTCCTATTTCAGTGGTTAAAATGACCACAATTCCAATGACAGCTATACTTTTATTGCAGTTGAGTATTTTGCTAACATTTAAAAAGTGGAATCCAACTTTACAATTAACAGATTTACAGTTTATTTCTCCTTCATTAATCTACTTCATCAGTTGCAGCATTATTTGGTGTTGTCTGCCATGTGACTAATACAGGACACAGGTTAATCCGATGAATTGAATACAATTTAGAATTACTTGCACTATATTTACTTTTATTTTTTGCAATTTTATACTTTGACTTTGGTACAAGTCAGAGGCAAATATTGTTCTTTTTACTCCACTATTTTTATTGGATGATTTCAGATATCTGGCAGATTTATTTTATGATTTAAACTTAAATCAACAAATACATATTATAGATTAGAATTAAACTTTATTGATCCCTGAAGGGAAATTCACGAGCAGCAGTTTCAAATCACCGTCAGCAGTTCAGTCATCTTTACCACCAACCTTGACGTGATGAACACATCAGTAATATACATTGTTCAGAATTTAGCTATTCTGAATGATCAGTAGCTTGACTTTAATTGAGTTACTTTAAGCATGTTTTGATGCTAATATTTTGTATTTAAATACAAATTTAAATGCATGACTTTTACTTGGAACAGAGTATTTCTACACTGTGTTGTTGATACTTGTAGTTAAGATCTGTGTGCCGCTTCCACCTCTGATTAACTGTAACGAGGTCGATGGCTGGTTATCATATGATTAGAATGAAATGCTGTGGAATGAGTGCAGAAACGTAACACTTTTATTTGCAAAGTACGCACTGCCTACAGGGTGTTAAAACCACAAATTATCAGAAAATATTTTCTATTTTTAACTTCAGCGTTGTCAGGGGCAGCTGAGTGCGGTTAGAGGAAAGTCTGACAGCAAGACCTAAGTGCAGCTGTTTGTTTGTTGGTGTATATTTGGTTATGCATGAAGGAAGTAAGTGCAGGGGAAAGTTAACACCTGCTCACCTCTTACCTCCACAGACCACATCTAAATGCTCAAACTGAAATACACAAATGTATTCCACCATAACGTTAAACGTTAATGCTTGTGGCTGTGACTGCAGCCTTCACATAAATAGTCCAGGAGTATGTGGAAATGATGAAACTTGGTACACTTGATAGTTATTTTTATAAAATATTCAATGTGACGTCTTTCAAGCCGGTCCATCCTTGAACTCTAAAGTTGTGACTGCATGAAAAAGGGGCTGCGAGGGGGATTTACAAATGTAAAAGAGCCTGTTTGAAGTGTACAGCTGTGTGTCAGTGTGAGGGAGGTGTGAAGGAAAAGGTGAAGAACAGACTGAACAACATCACAACAGTCAAATTTGTTTGTGGCGTAACATTTTTTTAAGTCAGTGTTTGTGTTCGACATGGTCTTTTTAAGCACAGAAGTCATATTAAATCTAGTCTTGCCCTTTACAGACACTGTGTTGTCAGAATTAATGAATACAAGGATGAATCTTGTAACACAACATGCACTCGTATTAACAGACATGATATTATCAGGTCTGGCTTCACTTCTCAGATATCATCATTTCCTTCTTACAGCGTCTCGGATTTCTCTATTAACTCTTCAGCTGGACGGTTTGTTGGGCCGTATATGGAATTATTGTAATTCATGATCATTAAAACATCTTTTCTGTGGTATGATGTGTTTGCTTCAGATACAAAATCAACATGAGGTGTTTTTGTAGTGGTTCCATTTCTTAAAATGTTCAGTGTCCCATAAAGGGCCCCAAGTTTCATGCTTTTATTTTATTTATTTTTTTAAAGTGAATCTGTCGTCATAAAATTAAGCACAAATTGCCTGCACTAATACAGAGCCTCAAATGTATGTATTATCAGTACATTACTTTTTTTTTTTCAATGGACTATTTCCAGGACCACTTGGTATTTCCCAACAATTTCCCTGAGGTTTCCACCAAAGGGATTAATAAAGTTCTATTCTATTCTATTCTATTCTATTCTGTTCTATTCTATTCTACTGGAGCATGGATTGTTATCTATGGTGGATCATCCGTGCACATCAGTTTTTTCATGAAAAAAAAAAACGTCACACTTATGATGTAGAGGTCTCAAAAACTCATCTATCAAATATGACACACTTGGCATTACATGGTTAAATGTAAAAAATAGCTTCCTGTTAAATTCTTTATTAATGTTATGCACCTACTTTTGAACTTCTGCTTCTATTTTCATGCAGATTATAAGAACTCAGCACAGTTTTACCTCAGAAACATGAAAAACCCCTTAAAAAAAAAAAAGCTTCCCTTATGAAATATGTCACGGACCAGCGAGAATCACGTTTTTAGCCACATTATCTCATCCTGAGTCACACTCAGTCGCAGGTCGTTGCTCTCTACTCTCAATGCACAGGTTATGATCAAAAAGTACAAGTTCTATAAAAGCGACCAGTGACTAAAATCAGCTTCTGGTCAAAGCTACAAAGATGTGCATGAAGTCACACATTGTTCCTCGCTTCCCACATGCTGGTTGTATCTTCACCAGAATAGTTGTTTGACGTCTCTGAGTTCCAAAAGTAAACTTACCAAAGAACAGAGAAACAGTGGATCAGCCAAGTCCACGCTACACATTTCCTGTTTCATTCTCCTGTCTTCTGCACGCTGAAACTCAAGACAAATGACCAAACAAGCATTTTACATTTCATTAGAAGAGTTGCTTGTCCCAGGATGTCTATCCATGTACCCGTTTCACATTTTAATATTCCATCACTTATTCTGCGTTTAGCGCTGGAAGGCCTTTGTGGAATTTTACCACAAATGAAATCGCTGCTGGACTTTGTTGCCGAGGTTAATCTGTAGCAGCTGTTTGGCGTAAAAGAATAATTCGGTAAATCTCAGTGCAGCCATTAGTGGAATTCCTGGACACAGTGTGGAGGACTGTTGATGTGACCACCACTGTAAACATATACTGTCCATCTGTGTTTCAGTGTAAACAGCGTGTAAATGATCTTATCTTCGCAGCTGACTGTGATCTACACACGGTTTTACTCCCGTTACATCTGCCCAACACTGCTGGTCATATTATTTTAATTCAACATCTTAAAAAGTTTGTTATCTTTCCAGTGAGTCCTTATATGTGGAGAGTGAATCAACTGCTGCTAAAATATGGAATTCCACAGGGATTCATTCTGGGGCCCGTTCTATTTTCCATTTCTGTGCTGCCACTTGTTCATATTAATAAATAAACACAATGTCAGTCAACAACCCACATTTATATCTCTCCACCGACACCAGAGCCACCAATCAGTTCGACAACATCCACATTTGCGTTCTAAATATCTGTCACTAAATAGCAACTCAGAAAAAAATCTACAATCGGATCCAACAGACTTTAAAAAACATGTTGCTGCATCAGGATTTTTTTGTGTTTTCACTTTCAACAACTTATCCAGGAAGTTATTTTAAGGGTTCAGCATTTCCAGATAAATACTTCCCACAGCCGTGTAATTTGGCGAGGACACACAAAACTGCTTCCAGCCGATCCTTGTGATTGAAATTCAAACTTTCAATTATTGGCTATTAAAATGAATAAAGTTGCTGTTATATGTACAAAGTTACAACCTGCTGCTGAAATGTAACCAAATGAGGCTTATTTTGCCTTATAGAGCGTTCCCATATGAATGCTTCAAATGATCTGAACACACACAGGCTGACCCTCTGAACTGTAATTCATGCGTTCCTTTTATCTCCAGTTCACTTCTCGTACAACAAAACCTCAGCTGATACACACAGCAGCAGCCGGAATCAGGTCCAACAGAGGAGAACAATTTTAAAATCACTGAACTGGCCCGATCCGTTTAACAACAGGCTTTTAAAAGACCTACTCATGTAAAAATCAAAAAATCCTAAAAATACCATGCCAAAAGCTAAATATGTAGTTCTGATACAGCGAGCTGAGTTTTTATAAATGATTGGAGAGTGACTTCAAGATAGAATAGAATAGAATAGAACACTTTTTTATTGATCCTGAATTGGGGGAAATGTACACGCCACAGCAGCATCCAAAATATAGAAAGTACAAGAAAATAACAATAATTCAGTAATATGCATCCTGGTGTCCTCATACAACAGGTCCAAGTCCCTGGCTTAATGTGGGGAGAGTGGTAGAGAGCGATGTATTATTAAAGTCTCCTGAGATGATGATCAGACACTGAGGGTGTGATGTTTGCAGCTGGGACCCTGAACTCTGGATGAGCTCACAGGCTGCAGCAGCATCAGCCGACGGGGGGAATATAAACTGCAACCACGAAAAAAGACTCAACATTCAGCTCAACTCCTATGAGCCTATGATTTTTGATCTTTCAACTGCATTTCATTAACTTTGTCTTCTGTGCTTGATGCTTTTCCTGTTTCTGCAGGTCTCTCCGACTCCAGAGCTGCATGCTCCTGATGCGTCGCCTCCATCAACCGGCGTCGACAGTCTGCAGCTGCTTGTTCCCACCACACTTCTACTCTACTCATCCTTTGTTTACATCAGCCACTCGTAATATAGAGAGTTATCAACATGGTGTTCTGATGCAACGCTCTGTTTATCCTTTTAGCAGTAACTTTACGAGCACATTGCCACATTTTTCCACAGTCTGACTTGTGTCACACAACACGAATGTATCGTCCTGTTTATACGCTGCATGTATAGAAATGTCTCTCATGTCTTCTCCTTTTTTAAAAAAAACATTTTTACACAATAGCCACAAGCAGAAGTGTCCTTCCTTATATGCTAGGTTCTGCTGAAGGTTTCTTCATGTTAAACAGGAGGGTTTCCTACCACTGTTGCCACAGAGCTCTCTGTACGAGCCTCTCTGAAGCTTCTTATGAAATGTATTATATTCATAATAATGCTTTAACTTACTGCTGTAAGCTTTTGAAAAGTGTTTAATCGACAGTTATTTTGACCTTTCTTATATAAACAAACTGTAAAAATGTACCCAATGACTGTGTTCCATCATTAAAACCCCCAAGACTTGAATCTGACTTTATCACCCTATGAGGCCATTTTCAGGCTAATTTTACTTCCTTCACTTTTAGGCTCTCATCGTAATCATTATGGGGTCATTCCATCCCAAATCGTCAAATTTTGACAAAAAACATGGATATTTAGATGCTTCTTTTTGTTTTGTTTTGTAGCCTAACATATCAAAGACAAGAATGTTCTGACCCCACTGACCAGCTTTCAGCCTGTTTTTACATCATAACAGTCACGATGGCCTCTGACCAATCACGAGTGAGTAATTTTTCCACACAGTATTTTGATTTTTATTCACTCTAGGTGGACAAGGAATCATTTACTGTAACTGCTTTGACTTTGATTTGCAGCCTAAATCAGAAACTTTTTTAAAAAGTCAAAAAAAAGAAAAAAAAATCTTAAATCCACCAAAAACATTCCAGGGTTGAATTTTTAAATTTCCAAGTGTTTAAATGAGAGCCTTGTAAAGGGTTAAACACAAATGTTGTTTTTTAAAATGGACGCTATCATGAAAAATCCCATATTTGCTCACACATTAACAAACAGATTGTTGATGCAGAAGTCAACTCGTGATATTTTCCGAACCACATGTTACAACAGAAATGTCTTTAATTTAAAGTTTCATAACCAGCAGGTATGACAACATGCACCACAAAGCACTTGAGATGCAAAATGGTTTCCAACATTTTACTTAGATTTTGTATTTTTTTAAATATGGGCATATTTGTAATTTTGGGATTGACTTGGTTTGGAGGAGACTCACAATGCAGTGACAAGTAAGTTCCTCATTAGAATGACATCAGCACAATATAACCACGATACAGAGATCTGCTGGGATCGTTGGATTTCTCTGGTGGGAAAATAACATGACATGATATGGGAACACCTGCTGATCTTTTTTTTATCATCACCTGGTACTCTGAGATGGTCACGTTTCATGTTTCTCACCGTTAAAAGCTGACAACAGTTTTTATGATTGCTTCAGGGAGACATTGTGGAATATGATAACATCACAACCGTGACGACAACAAAGGCTGCTATTGTCTTTTACCAACGGTGGTTACACACAACAGGTGTACGTGCAGAAGTGGCCACGGCCAGCGGTGTGTCTGGAAAGGTCAAGTTTTCATTTGAACTACAACTCTCTGCGATGAACACTTTGAGAACATCTCAAACGATGAGAAAGTGTGTGAATCTGGATGCAAAGTGTTGTGCTCAAACCAATCACGACAAGACAACCAACAAAAGGCAAAAGTCAAGTAAATGACCAGCATTTTTTTTTCTTTTTAAAAAAACAACCGTAATATAGTCACACTAAGTTCTCCAGTTCAACCTTAATCACACCGATATGACTGGAAGCATTTCTTATATAAAAATATACACACGAACAATAAAAAATAATTGCACTGCCAACATCAGTCTATTAAAATAGAAGAGTAAAAGCACTCGGTTTTAGTGTTGCTAGGTGACCAAACATGAATCCTGGGATGTCCAGAGGGCTGTACTATGAAGCAAGATGTGTTGTATTGTTGTAGAGCCTCTTTCTATGTGAACACACACAGTTAAAGAGAACCGACTTCTTGTCGACCTGCACACAACAAAGCCCGGCTATGTCATACTAGCTTCATAGTACAGTCCTCTGATTAAGAAGTGTAGGATCGCCCGACTCCCAAAACAATAGAAACGACATGAACCCTGTGGGTCCTTCAACAGGAGCCTTGTTAGACAGGCTCGATGAAAACCCCTTGGTTGAATATTGGGTCAAATCTTTGTATTGCAGCCATTGAGAGCACATCGTCGGTCATGAGGAAGGCGATCGGCCCGATGCGTGTCCACACACACCTCTCGCACAGCGGCCCCCCAGGAGACACACCATCGCTCTGGACGAAGACAAAAGGAGGATCACATCACGGCAAAACAATATGCTTCAAACTGGGAAAAGACAAAATCGGTGTGAAAGCTTCTTACACATTTGATCTGCTGTTTACGCATGACGAACGCTGAGCCGGGCGTGATGCAGTTGGGACAGTAAGCGATGGAGCAGGGCAGAGGCTCGCCGGCCGTCAGCTGGGGACTGGGCATCTCCGACGTCAGGAAGTATTCCTGGAGACGAGACGGACAGAAAACGGTTTAGAGTCAGGGATTTTAATCTAGGACAGTTTTTACAACAGGTTTTGAAATGCTTTAGTGGAACATCAGAGGGTGTCAGTAGGAGCAAACATACTTTATAAACAGAAAATAAACGCGACCATCATCAGCTCTGTCAATGTGTTTGGGCACGATTCCAACCTCCTGTTCATGTTGCTCATGTTTCCAGGATTGCTGTTCTTCTTGACAATGCATCGATTGAGTAATAACCGCAGAGAAGCACCTCTGGATCTTACTTTCACAAACCAATACCACATTGAGTCCACTGAGCCGTGGATTTAGTGGCTTTATTGTTTGAAAGATTTACAGCAGGAGCCAACTGAGCTACATTAGCTGAGACATAATGTACTCCAGAGACTGTCTCCTCCAGCAGATGCATCTAATCATTCCATTATTGCTCTTACTCTAATAGACTGAATCCCTTCTCTGGCCTCTTTTTCTTTCTGCCAAAGTGGGTGGAAGAAGCGAACCATGCAGTGAAGACTCTGGCCTCCTGCCTGCTACTTTGCAATGTTTCTCCAGAAGGCCTCCACACAGGCTAGTATGTTAGAGTTTAAGTTGTTCACAACCTGTTGCTGTCGATCACTGTATTGTACAGAATTAGCGTGGCCTAATGGTTGTGGCTGGATTCATTTTATTGGCTCTCGTGTACACAGCCTTTGTGGTTGGAAATAAAAGTGAGCGGAGGGAGGAGGGGTGGCTGGTACTTCTGTTTGCTTTGGTCTGAGATGCTGCTGCTGCTCTCGGGCCCCAGGATGGTTCAGTGGTTAAACTGTCGCCTTGTTGTTTACTGAGCAGCCATGATGTGAAGGTGATGAAGAAATGCTCCACTGATACCATCTTGTTGGTAGATAAAAAGGTTTACTGAAACAAGTCCAGTATCTCAGACGGTTCGCCAGTGAGAGAATTTGAAGCCAAAAAGAATCACCAGAAATAACCTTGACTACTGGCTTATACAAGAGGGCTGTTTATGTAAAACTAAGACAAAACATGTGGTTCATATTACGAGGGGAGCCCACTCTGTAGATGAAGAGGCACCTCTCCTGTGGCCCCTAAACCCTAGCCTCACAGCTAGAAGATCCCTGGTTCCCCCTGAGGACATCCAGGATCTTTCTGTGGAGTCTCCATGTTCTCCCCGCGCAGCGTGGGTTCTCTCCGGGTTCTCCAGCTTCCTCCCACACAGTCCAAAAACATGTTGAGGTTAATTGGTGATTCTAAATTGTCTGTAGGTGTGAATGTGAGTGTGCTTGGTTGTCTGTCTCTAAGTGTAGCCCTGTGATAGACTGGTGACCTGTCCAGGGTGTCCCCTGCCTTCACCCTGAGTCAGCTGGGATAGACTCCAGCCCCCCATGACCCTAGTGAGGATTAAGGTGTATGGATGTATGGATGTATGGATGTATGGATGGATGGATGGATGGATGGATGGATGGATGGATGGATGGATGGATGGATGGATGGATGGATGGATGCTGCTCTAGTGTCATCCAGTGGTCCTGAATGTCCCTCAAAGAACCTTAAGGAAACAGACCACAGCTTAAAAGCTTGGTACCAGCTTGATAACATCCATCCATTACCTACACATCACTTTATCTGATGTGCTTGAGCTTCCGTGTCACTACTCGTGTGGCTGACCAATCGGCTCACTGAGCAATTCTGTCTTTTATGTCATTATAACCTTTTTTTCGCTCTTTTAACCTTTTTCACTGTCCTTAACACGGGACGGTTTGGATTACCTGGACGTTTTCAAAAAAACATTTGGGTGATTTTGAAACTTTGTACATTTTGTTATTATTCGGTTGGCATGGCTGAAATAGATACAGTGGAGCTTCCAAAAGATGTACTACATGGTCACTCATCCAGCTATGCCTCGGACACTAACAGCAAGAAGAAAACCCAGAGGGGAAAAAAGAAAAAGAGTGGAGTGACAGCCAGACTCAAACAGCAGAGAGGTAAACACCAGCTGCTTCCCTCAGTCATCCTAGCCAATGTGTGTTCATTACGCAACAAGACAGACAAACTTCAAGTTAACTCGGCACATATGCACAAATGCAGGACTGCTGCAATTTTGGCATTCACCAAAACCTGGCTAAGCAGCAATGACAGCGACAGTTCTCTGCATATAGACGGCTTTGGGACTCCAATAAGGCTCAACTGTGACAGTCAGCTGACGGGCAAGAAGCATGGTGGTGGTGGTGTATACCTGTATGTTAACAAAGGGTGGTGTTCTGCTGTGACAGCGAGGGAGAAACTGTGCAGCGTGAACTCCTGGGATTTCCCTCAGCTATTTTTTATCCTGGTCTACATCCACCCTAAAGCAAAGGCAGCTGCAGCTTCAGACCCTGACTTTCCAAAATCCGTTCCATGTAATATAATGTGATATTTATGATGTGGTTTATTGTTTGTTTGCCTTTTTATGTCTTTATATTAAATACTCAGTGAGCTTTTGAATTGCCCCGAGAGGATAAATAAAGTTATTTGAGTTGAATTGAACTGAATATCCTCTGTAGGGCTGCAGGTGGGGGGCTGGAGTCTATCCCAGCTGAGTAGAGTGAAGGCAGGGGACACCCTGGACAGGTCACCAGTTCATCACATGGCCACACAAAGACACAATCAAGCAGAACCCATGCAGGCACTGGGAGAACATGCAAACTCCACAGAGAAAGAACCCAGGAGCTTGTAGCTGTCAGTGCTAACCACTGCTCCACCATGCCAGCCATTCTGAAAACATGATGGCAACTATTTTCTGTTACCAGAAGCCATCGAAAGCACCAGCAGCTGTCGGTAGAGTACTGAAGGTTGTGATTTCTCTGGAATGGTGTCAGCAAGTGCAGGTGGAGCAACAGGTGACTTCTGGCAAAAAATAAATTAAAAAAAAAAACCCTCTCTGAAGTCATGTAAGGAGATATTCAGGGTTTGAGTCGAGGACAAGTTCCAGACGATCCAAAGTCAAAATGCAAACAGTGTCACACTTGGAACAAATGCACAAAACACCTCCAAGCAGTTCAAAGATAGACATCCAGATCTGAACACGGAATTCAAGGTGAGACTTTCGGTTGTCACGTTACATTCACACCATGTTGTCACCGTGTGCACATCCCCAAATGTTACTGTTTGGTAACTGTGACAGCTGCATCTGTTGTAGCAACGTTCATTAAGATTAAATTAGCTTGTTTAGGCTAACATAGCAGCAGCTCATAGGGTGAGCTGGGTGCTGCTGACAATGTTCAGCCGGTAAACATACCGTGGTGTGTCTGTGTGTGTCAGTCCCTGATTCACTCCTGTCCCATTTTCTACAACTACACAAGCAACCCACTACTTCATATTTGCACCACCTACATGTATGTAAATGGCTTTATGATATATATACATCTTCATCATGTTAGTGTGCACAAAGATTATTTCTGCACTTCATGGTTGTAAAGTGCTTATCTGAAGGAGATCATTTGAGTTTTAAGCCTAATTAAATCTATATTGAAAACATATTAGTGTGAATGTAGCTGTGGTTTTTAGCTAAACATACACGAGTTCATTGTTTGTTGAGTTGAGCAAACTGAGTATCTCAGACGGTTGGACTGATAACCGCGCAAGTTATTTCAACGGGTCACTGAGATAAGAAATAAAAGGTAACAGGCATGATTAACTGATGTAAATAATGGCACAAGTTCCAGCCCTACTTCCATCGGGCCCTTTTAACAGAAGTCATTTGGACTTGCCACAGTAGAAAAAGCACCGTGTTATAAAAAAAAAAAAAGTCCTTCTTCTATTCCAGTAAGAGCAGCAGTAACTGATGGTCCTGAGCAGAGAAAGTGCAGCAGCAGGTGTTTTGTTTCTTCCTCTGCACAGTTTACAGGTCCCAACAGGAAACAATCCATACGCTGTTTGACAGCAGTGGACACAAGAACAGAGAATGTACACAAATTCAGTGAGAGCCATTTGGGTGCCTTCATTCACCACATCTGCTTCCTGGGTGTCGAAAATGTACCAGCTGGTTCCACTTTGCACCGAGTCATTTATGTTAGGTCATGGAAAAACTTCATGGGAAGTTGTTGGCAAACAGACCACGAGTTCTCAAAGCGCCAAGCCTAATCTAGGCATGATCAAAGATTCTTATTTGAGCATTCTTGATCAGCAAGTTCTGTGGTCATCTCTCTGAGGTTGAGACAAGAGGCAGGGGAAGTGAAACTCTCCTGCCGTGCTGGCAGAGATGTTGAAAAAAAGAAAAGATTCTACATTGCAGAACAAACTTTACCCAGAAACAGGCTGGATAAAAAAAAGCAAAAACAAATAGAGGAAAAACATTTTGACAACTGGGTCCTTCTTACTGTGCTGATTAATAACTCGTAAAAGCTGTAAGTGTGAATATTTGTGCATCACTGCATTCTAGCAATGTCTGATAAAACTGTGTGGCTGCGATTTGAATGTGTGTTTAAGCAGTGGTTCTCAACTGGTGGGTCGCCCTGGGACCCA